AGAAAATCCATTTGAGTTTTACGACTCACTCAAGAAGTTTTTGCTTAAAGTCAAACTGGAGTGCGGTTTCGATTCACTTATCTTTGATTTGGTATGAAATTCAATACCTATTATCTAATACTGTTTTTATGCGATAAACACTATATTAATCGTAAGTATTTGACAAACATTGCAGTTAACAGCGATACTACTGTTTAACCCCAGCCTACCTGACTTAACGCACAGGGATGTTATCAAGTATGACATCGGATAACAAATCGCAAATACTGTACTAAAATATTTTCGTATAATTAGGTTCCAGCAGAAATTGTACTTATATTTACTGAAACGCTATCTAATGATAAAGTATGACCAGCCGGACAGCGATGTGAAATGCGCCAAAATATTGAGTATAATCAATGATTTGCATGTATTGGCACATTTGCACCGGCAGATCACCGCACAGAGAGATCCCAAACAAATAGGACCTCTACTACAAGAGGTCTATTCAATCAAATGATTTTGATAACCAAATTATTTTTCAATTATTAATCAGTTAAATACCGGTATAACATAATTACTACAGTGTAATATTTTAATTATTACTCTTTATTTAGAAATATTTATTTGCAAATAAATCTCATAATGAAATTGATACGATTTTTATTATGTTTATTTCTATTTTTCTATTATTTTATTAAGAGAAATATCCATTATAATTATAGTATAATCGTTACAGTATTTGGTGCATTGTTGGTGCAAGGTCAAATTGATGTACATAAATGTAAATAAGTTACTTTACTGTGTATTATACTGTACAGTTTGCACTTACAGTAGATAATATAAAAATATACATTTTATGATATAGTATACATTATATTTATAGTATTTCGCTATATCTATGAATATGGTATTATTTTATTATTGAATAAACTGTATATATTTATTATTAAATAAATAATTAACATTCATTATTAAATACTTTTTAAAATTAGCCTATTTTAAGAATTAACCGCATATAAAAGTATATATACAAAA